GATTTCAGCCACAATTCTGTCATCTGAGACAAATTTGGGAAATACCTGAAATCCTAAGCTAAAATCGGGGATCTTTGATCATTGGTTTGACATGTTCACAGACAGCTGCTTAGTGCCTGTTGCAATCAGGTTTTTTCTCAGATGAAGTTCTGACAGTATCAGAAGATTTCAGACATTTTCTTTACAGCTTTGATGAGCATCAATCCAAGAACCAATAGGAAGTCCGAATTGGATGATGCGATTTCATGCGAAAATTCAAATGACTGAATCATTCAGGATTATAAAAAAATGCACAGTGAAGGCTTGTCTTAAGGCATTAAAAGGTCAGTTAAGTTCTGTGAAGCCGGATCATCTTTAGAAGCTGGATTTTTTAAATTACTGCAAAGGAAATTTGTTCATGGAGAATTTAGATACTTCAGCAAAAAGACCATCACAATAATTGACAAATAAAAGCAAAATACTTTTTTTAGACCTCAGCAACTGAGAAAAACAACACTTGGAAAAACAGAACAAGACTAGAGCAAGTATGATACAAATAATAACTGAGCCATTAATTAGGAGATAATCTAGGTGGTTATTCTTGCAGAATAAAGCCTGACAGGCTTTTTAGCAGCCTGATGTAATGAAGAGGGCTGTTGTATAGGCCCGTATTTACATTAGATCTACATTTTTCCATGTTTTACATGATTAGGCTAATTGCCAAATTGTATTTTTATTGTATTTTTTTTTCACTGTTTAATTATGCTTTTGAATTGCATTATAGGACCTTGATACTTATTTTAACAACTTTTAACATAAAAAAGTTAAAAAAAAGTGACTTTTGCTAATATTTTAAAAGTTTGGTGTTGTAAAGCAGTGATTTTTAAAATATATTAACAATGCTGTAATTTGAGAAATGTTCTCAAATTGCCTTGCTTAACATTGTTTTCATCATCACATTCTATTGTGAGAGTAAGTTTGAGTAATTTGAGTAATTTCATATGAGTGGAAACACTTGATCGCTTGCTTAACATTTCATGTCGTTACTGCAAATTTTTACATAAGTTTATATGTGATTTTACATGTTCTATGGTTTATCTGGTTGTGGACCTTAACACATCTTACATTTATTTGCATATATTTTAAAATATTTAAAAGCCTACATAAGGTGGAAAGTTGATAATCCCTTGAGTCTCATCACAAGACTATTCAACATCTCAATGGAAAGATGAAACTCTCCATCGTTCTCCTGGTTGTCATCTGTGGACTGACTAAAGCTTCTATCAGGCAGCACTTTTATGTGAATAACTATGTGACTTGGACTGAAGCTCAAACATACTGCAGGACACATTACACAGACTTGTCAACCGTCTCAAGTCAAAAAGAACAAAACATACTGGTACAGCTAGCAGGAAGCAAACTTTTCATATGGATCGGCCTGTATAGGAACACATCGTACAGTAAGAATTTTCTGTGGTCTGATGGAAGTTCATTCACATTCGCATACTGGAATATTGGTCAGCCCGTCACCACTAGTACACCTCAATCCTGTGTAGCCTTAAATGTAAAGTGGGCTCGATTGAGCTGTAATTCCATCTGTGGTTTTTTCTGCTACAACATCTCGGTTACGGCTGTTAAAGAGAAGAGGACATGGCAGGAGGCTCTGCTGTACTGCAGATCTCGCTATAATGATCTGGCCAGTTTGACCACCGACAGACAAATACAACTGGCCAAACAACTGACTATGAAGTCTCAGACAGAAAGTGTGTGGACAGGTTTGCGCTTTCTGCTTGGTGAATGGTTCTGGGTAAATGGTGAAACTCTACAAAATCAAATCTCACTGCCAGAGTGTCCAGTTCAGCCCTATCGCTGTGGAGCTCGCAACACAAAAACTGACGAGTGGGAGAATAGAGACTGTGAGGAGAAGCTCAACTTCCTCTGCATCTGAAAATAGAAAGATTATGGATTTTTGGCAAACAATCAAATAATACAAACTTAATTATTTAAACGTTGTTTTAAAATGTAATTAATATTTTTTTATTTAATTTTATTTATTTCATGCCATGTTTTTTTTTTTTTTTTTTTTTTTTGCTGGTGTTGAACTGTAGAGAAATATCTAAGTGTGATAGAAAATACATGTAAGGGAAATTAGACTACTGGTCAAAAGTTTGAAAACATAAAGGTGTGTAAGTGTTGTTAACAGAAGACTCTTTGTAAATGTTCTTTAAACTCTGTATGTTAATATAATTTCAAATATTACCTATTTCTGTGATATTTTTTTCTGGCTTTCTACCTTAAATTTGGAAATCACACATTGGTCTTATATCTCCAATCTTCAGTTTACATAGAAGCATTTCTTTTCTATTCTATTGCAATAAATGTATGCTGTCAAACTCTTTTGTTATATTGGCAAATTGTTAATAGCAATAAACAAACAATATTCATTCTTTCATTTTCTTTTAGCTTAATGCTTGATTTATCAGGGGTCGCCACAGTAGAATGAACCACCAACTACTCTGGCATATGTTTCATACAGCGGATACCCCTCCCGCTGCAACCCATTACTGGGAAACACACACAATAGAATATAATGTAAATTATATATTTTTTCTCTCTTTCATGTTTTATAAATTATATTATGCACAGTTACATTTCCTGCTAAACAAAAAGCTACTTAACTGGTATGAGCAAGGCAAAATCAATACAACACAGACATAAAGACAGACAGAGAGATATGTCGAAACTTCTCCAGGGCTCACAAACCCTTCAAAATGCCACAGTATCAAAAGCAAATTTGTCAAAGAACTTAACATGCATGCAGCAAAACACAGACAGCAGCACACTTTAAATACAATAAATATACATCAAACAATGCAAACCTAAATAAGTAATCATACAACAGCCATCTTTTTTTTTTAAGATTTATTTTTGGCCTTTTTTGCCTTTATTAAGTGGATAGGACAGTATTTCAGACAGGAAGCAAAGTGGGAGAGAGAGAGGGGGTAGGAATGGTAAATGTCCTTGAGCTGGGATTGCACCATATGTCAGTGTGCTATTACACCAACTACAATAGCCATCCTAAAGTATAATATTTAAAGAGGACATTCAAAAGTCCCAAATGAATTTGTTTCTCTGGTGTGCTAGAAGAATATTCTAATGGCTGTTTCACACCGCAAGCGTGATCGGGGTTAACAGATTAGAGCTTTCAGAGCGTTGAGCGCAACTGAAGCAGCAATGCCTCGATAGTTTCGGTGAGTCTATTTTTGCCACGCTGCTCACGCTCAATTAAAGTGACAATGCATTGATAATGACCAAAACACATTGAATGACAGTAAAAAGTAGCAATTTTACCCAATAAATGTATCAATAATAAGTGAAGTTTATTCATAAACTAATTTCGATAGGATCATGTGCTTATGATTTATCACGGCCGGTCTCGAATTTGCTAATCACTATCTTCCAATCATATGAGCCCTAAGCAACTATAAATAGCCACAGTTTTCAGTTCACTTTATCTTCGTTAGGAAGAAACCCCCCTCCTCCCCGATTCTACTCCTTTACCTCTGATTGGGTGGCACGGCGGCCCAGTGGTTAGCACTGTGAGCCCCACAGCAAGAACACTGCCAGCCCTGGTTCCACAGAACCGGTGGGTGTTTCTGTGAGGAGTTTGTATGTTCTCCCCGTGTCCGCATGGGTTTTCCCTGGGTTCTCCGGTTTCCTCCCACCATCCAAAGACATTCAACATACATAACAATCAAGCTTTTGTCCAACCCCTTGTGTTCCCTTAGCTACAGCAGCAGGGGAGTTCTGAGATCCACCGAGCTCAGGCTCCCCTCTCGCTCTGCCAATGGGAGGAAGCCCCGGGCTCGAGGAACCCTTGAGCTTGGGGCTCTCTTCCGGGACAGCATGCCAAACAAGCTTTTATAAATCATCAGCTAAGTGTGAACTCTTGAATATATATATAGTCAATCAACCACCAAATGTAAAACAATTTTAGTATCAGTTTTGCTTAAGTTGCACTCTAGTGTTGCAAGAGAGGGGAAGTGATTTACGGGAATTGTAGTCCATAGCAAAGTGTATTGTGGGTAGTGTAGTTCGACATGCATGCTGGATGATGTTAGCTCGCTGTGTGCTGTGCAGCTGACACAGAAGAAGAAAGTTTTATTTGGCTTTGTTTTATATTTGCTCAAGTTATTTCAACTGGGAGTTGTTTGCACTGTGAATCTGACAACACGAGAATAACTAAAAAAGGGCATGCATTAATTACTTTTGTCCGTCTCACTCTTTGCATGAGCATTAATTAACAAGCTGTTATTCTGCCGCTGGACATCACTGAAGTGGAGAAAGTAACACTAGTTTGATCATGTATAAATAATATTATAACTATATTGTATAAATATTATTATAACTAGGCCTACAACATCCTGACCATCAAAAATCAAATGGCATGATATCAAAGGCGATTGTCTTCTGACTGTACACTCCTCATAGAGCTTTTGAGAAGCATACAGTACTGTTTCATCTATAAAATTTGTAAAATAAAGACTGCAGGATAAAGAAACAGCATAGGAGGAAGTTGCCACGGGCCTTGGTACAGATAAAAAGTTGAAAAAGTGTATTTGTATATAGAGAGATATAGGTAAGTAGATAGAATAGACAGAGAAAGGTTGATCTCTGCAGCAGCTGCCGGAGAGCTGCGCGCTGCAGACGCAGCTGGTGTGAAAGGCAAACGCCTGCATGCTGCTTCTGCTCGACATACGCCCTGCGCACGCACTGCTTTCACTTGCGGTGTGAAAAAGGCATAAAGCTGTGGAGCATAAGCAGAAAACACTCTACCAACACCAAAATAAAGACATGTCTTGGGAACAAAAAGGCCACCCTTAGAGATCATATCTGATTTTGACATGGTGTGTAAGGCATTAAAAGATCAGCCAAGTTCTGTAAAACCAGATCATCTTTAGCAGCTGTTTTTTTCTCCTAAAGTCTATAAGGAAGTCTGTTAATGGAGTGTAATGAGACCATGTCTGGGCATTACAAGTCCCAGCAGGCTTAGCGCCATGCAAGGAAGTGTTGTTGTTTATGTGCGGACACTTTATTTCCTGATTGCGGCATAAATTAACAACAGGTTGTAGATTGCTCAGCGCTATATAAGTGAGTCAAAGTTTGTTTGCCATTTTGCTGTCGTTGTTGCATTCTGGTCGCGGCACGTAAAGGCCGGTAGGTAGTAAGTTTATTTGTGTGATGTGCAGTCTCTCTCTCGGAGTTTCCTTTTTTTTTAACGCATGCATAAACTGACATTTATAGAGTCAACACTTCACGTGAGGGGTAGCTGATGAGCAAACAACATTTAATGCTGCCAGATCTTCATTGCGAACTTATTTAAAGAGGTAGTTGTTTTATAATTTTAATAAACCGTTTTTAGTATTGTGTTTTAATGATATTATCCTTTTTATTTCTAGTGCTATTACGGGATCATTGTTTGCTGATTGTTGCCTGAGTGTCAGCATGGGAAATTAAGGATCTTAGAGGTATTGTTTAAAACAAAGAAGGGTTTTTAACTCATAATGCATGTTTCATTTATAGGATGTTTTATTGTGTTTGATTTCTTTATATTCTGAGTTTCTGTGTTGTAATAAACTGTGTTTCCCCTTTTTAGGGATGCACGGTTGCCGTTTACTTTAGACTAGGGTTGTAACAATATACCGGTATGACGGTTTACCACGATTTGAACGTGCACGATTATCATACCATGAACAATTGCATATCAACGGTTTTATCAGTGGAATCAGTGCGGTTACGTCATCAACATTTGACAACGCTGATTTGACAAAGAAACGCTCGTCACTGTGTCTCCGGACAAATCAGACATGATACATTGATGCATTGTCCCTCCTCCATGCCCAGATTGGTTCAAACTCGCTATATCACAACCAATAAGCATAGGTTTCGCTTTTGTTTGTGGACCAAGCTTTTTAAACAACACTGAATGAGAGATAGGCATACATTTATGCGCGGCTAAATAAAAAGCAAAAAAAAAAGTTTTGCATGAAATAATTCTCATACTAAGTACTTTTGCATGCACAGCAGCACAGAAACATGACAAAACAGTGACACAGCAAAGACGAACTGCTGCTCTTGCTGTTTTCAAAAGACGCAAATGAAGGTGCGGCTGTTTGTCTGCATTGCAGACCACCATATCCAAATCCATATCCATAGACAACCATATCCATGCTGGCACATAAAACATAAGGATGTTCCATATTGAATCTAGTTTCGTTATGTAACTATTTATAGTATAGTAAATATTTATATCTATTTTTTACTGAGGATTTGCACCATGTTTATTTGGACTTTGACACATTATTTATTATTTTCTTATTTTTATTTGTTCATTGTAAGTGGTGTTGTTTATAGTAACTAAAAATATATTATTTGGAAAAAGTCAAATTTGCTTCACTGTTCTATTATTTTGTAACATTTGTAACATACCGTATACCGCGAAACCGTCAAACCGTGGTATTGTTTTAGACGATTATCATACCGTGAAAAATTCATACCGTTACAACCCTACTTTAGACTTACAATAATATTTTTGTTATTGAATCTTTGTTGTTGACTTTTGTTGTATGCGAATTTGGGTTGTTTATTATGTTGCTAGGTTGACAACAATTTGTATTTTCCTTTGTTAAACTTTTCTTTCTTTTGTAGGTTCTGTTTTGGATTTGCTTTACCATCAGTGGCCACTGGGTTCCCTGCACTGTGTGGATGGCGGTGGAGAAAAGGTGGTTGGGATTGTGTGGTGATTTGGTCACTGTTGATTTTTGTGTTTTTTAGGTTGCAGTGTGATTGCTGTGAGCTGAGTGTGGTGAAAACACTGCTGCTTGGGTACCTCATCTGTCCTCACTTTCTGGGTAACCGGTGGCCATTAGTGGTTTGATTTTTCCTTTTCTTTTATTTAGTTTATTTACTTTTTTTTCCTCCTTATTTGCAATAAAGATGGAGACAATTTGTATATTACAACTTGTGGGATAAAAGATAATTGTCCTCCTAATTGTAAGTCACTTCATTTACCCTCTGCTAAATCCATTAACACTGACAAAAGTAATCTGGTCACAATTGGCGTAGTCAGCAGGGTATTTAAAATTGATTTAATTTAGCAGAGGCTGTTGTGAAGTGTCTTACTCTATCGTTTGTGCAACTTTAAATGTTTTTGCATAAGTACAGTGTAAGTAAACGGTGACCGTGCATAAAGGATTTCGCAGACTCTGCTTTGTGGACCCTGGATGTCATTGTGCTGATTGAACTGTCTTCCAGAATTCACCAACAGATATTACTTTTGTGTACACAGTGATAGTGACTTACTGATCCGTGATTGAAAAATGTAGCATGGATGCTACTGTGCTACTTGACTAAAAAAAAGCTTCGCTACTGAAAAGCTATTTGATTTAGAAAGTTGTGACGCTACCACCATGCTACTCAGGAATGTAGTTAAGCTAATAGCGTCACTACTTTTAGCATTGCTACTGCCCAATACTACACTACTTGTAGTATACAGTAAATATAAATGTATTTGAATATACTCACACATTTTAGCTGAGAATTTAGAGGGGTTATCAGGGAATAATGGAATGATGTGATTGTCAAATCAAAATCAAGTATTCCAAAGAGCCATGTAATGCACTTTATTAACTTAAATGTTTGAATCAAATGTTTCAAAAACCTGTAACTGATTGTTTAATATGTTAAATACACTGTAATCTGTGAAACCTTTCTAAATTGCCTTGTTAAAGGGAATTGTTTTCATCACATTCTGTTATGAAAGTAAGGTTGAGTCATTTTCATAAGTAAATTTGAGTGGAAACACTTGATCCCTTGCTTAACATTTCATTTTGTGTCGTTTCTGCAAAACTTTACATAAGTTTATTCATGAGTTTAAATGTTCTATAGTTTATCTAGGTGAAGATCTAGACACATTTTACATTTATTTGCATACATTTTAAAATATAAGCCTACAAAAGGTGGAAAGTTAATGATCTCACAAGACTTTTCAACATCTTACTGGAAAGATGAAACTCTCCATCGTTCTCCTGATTGTCATCTGTGGACTGACTAAAGCTTCTATCAGGCAGCACTTTTATGTGAATAACTATGTGACTTGGACTGAAGCTCAAACATACTGCAGGACATATTACACAGACTTGTCAACAGCTTCAAGTCAAGAAGAACAAAACATACTAGTACAGCTAGTAAGAAGCAAACCTTTCATATGGATCGGCCTGTATAGAAACACATTGTACAGTAAGAATTTTCTGTGGTCTGATGGAAGTTCAATCACATTTGCATACTAGAATATAGGTCAGCCCGTTGCCACTAGTGCACCTCAAACTTGTGTAATCTTAAATAAAAAGTGGACTCTATTGAAATGTGATTCCATCTGAGGTTTTTTCTGCTACATCTCGTTGACTGCTGTTAAAGAGAAGAGGACATGGAAGGAAGCTCTACTGCATTGCGACAGACATCTACAAATGGCCAAACAAGTGACTGTGGTATCTCAGGCCCCGTTTACACTATTGCGTTTTAGTTTTAAAACGGCATTTTAGTTCAAAAATGATCCGCGTCCACACTAGCGTTTAACCTAGCGTCTCTGAACATATCTCAGTCCAAACTACGCCACCAAAAATGTATATCATGTGACCATTTGCGCACTCTGGGCATGCACGTTCTAGTATAAACAGAAAGCATGCGTCTCACTCGGCATTTGGGTATTGTTAGTGTAACGGAGTAAATAAGTGTGTTAAATAATGCCTAAATGGGGACAGCGCCCTCTAGAGTGTGCGTGATGTAATAAGTGCGTGGAGTAGAGACCGCCCACAGCAGAGTTAACGAAGCATTGCTGTGGGTAAGTTGCACGTTTCTCCCGGGTGGAAAATGACCATTAATAAGTGTTTAAAACACATAAATATTAGCTTTAATGTGACTTAATGTTTCAATGAATATGTTGGGACACTGTTGAGTTGTGTTTGGCGTCGAGTGTGCTGCTCAATTTTGAGTTTATAATGTGTTTATATAACGAGGCCTGATTGAAATCAATTTGTCTTGTGTTTCATATAGAGGTGGTCATTTTCTTTGAACCAGCAACTATTTACACGCGCTGTCTGTCTCCATTGTACAGGTATGTGTTAAATGTTATAAATTAATTGTTTGTAATTATTTTTCTTCTTACTCAAAACGAGTTACTAAAAGTCTCCACTAGATGGGGAAGTTTCATTACTTTTGGAGTTGAATTGTATTGCTCTGTTACACTCAGTGATTGTACATTAAGAATTGTGATTCATTAATTTGTCATGTAAAATTCAAAGTGTGTTATGTTTTTCATATTCTGACTGTTAAAATTTACACTATACGATCACAAAGTTAAAAAGAATTCATTGGCATATAAAAAATATACATAAAACTGTTTTAAATAAAACAGAGCAGAGTTAACGAAGCATTGCTGTGGAGGTGGTCATTTTCTTTGAACCAGCAACTATTTACACGCGCTGTCTGTCTCCATTGTACAGTGTACAGTAAGAAGACAGCCCAAGCAAGACCGTCACATTGGTGCTGTGAAGTTGTGATGCCGCTGTGTTGCTATGGGGTGTCTTCAAGCAAGCTGATCACTGCTTCTAAAGGACTGGAAGCATCTGACATCAGTTGAGCAGTTCGTCATCTACATACAGTGCTTTGCGATTAAAGGATCTCATAGACTTTTCACACATTTCACACTACAGGACTTTCTCACACTGCTTTTTGAAATCAAGTTTATTTATGGACAATTGGTGAATCACATTGATCAAAATGAGTAACATCAATAGATACTTAGCTGATAAACATACTTCTGTTCCGGTGGGTAGAGGCAGAGGGGTTTTAGGCCTCCCAATTCCATTTCCAATGGAAAGCCCCAGTGCTGATAATAATAATAATAGACCTGGTTATACTAATGGGATGCACTCCACACAAGAGCGCAATGCAGCTGACATGCAGTTTAATGCCAGTCATAGTTTTGCAGAGGCTAGCACCTCAACACCTCATGCTGCACCTGATATGCTAGGGCAGATGACTTCAATTGTTAATCAGATTGGCCAACAATTGGCAGACAATATCATGTCTCATCTTAGCCCCTATAGTTTGGACACTGTCATGCCTATTAGACATAAATCTGATCATAATAAATTAGATAGCCCTTCAGGCTTGTTAAATGTGTCGCAAAACCAAGTGATTCAACACAGAAAAGTCAAGGAGCCGCCTTCCTTCAGAGGGGATAGTTCTGACACCATTGTGATTGAGGAATGGGAAGATCTCATGAGAACATTTGTTAAAAAGAGCAATATGAGTGCAAACGAACATGTGGAGGAAATCCTTACACACCTTCGTGGTAAAGCAAAAGATGTAGTCAAATTCTGGATCAGAAATTGTGATACTGCCACCACAGTTTGCCCAAATTCTGTCTACGGCCTTCTGCGCAAGCATTTCAGTTCTACTCATTACTCACCTGTCCCTCTTGCTGACTTTTACACTACTTTGCCTGAGGAAGGAGAAAACCCCTATGACTACTGGCTGAGACTTAACAAAGCTGCTGATGTCGCCTCTGAATGCCTTCGAGAACAAGGTAAAACACTTGACAAGCCTAGTGTGGAAATAGTTCACATGTTTATCAGACACTGCCCGAGTAAGGACTTGGCCTTAACCTTCAGATCCAAACCAATTGATAAATGGTCAGCTCATGAAGTTCAGGCTGTGCTTAATGACTATCAATCTGATTTATCATTCAAAGCCACCAGCACAGTGTACCGCAGACAAAGTGAGAAAGTTTCAGTTAACAAAATTGACATTAATACAGTTCCAACGCCTGCTCTTTCTGTTTGTGAGCAACAACAGAAAAGCGCAGATGCCTCTGCTCTAGAAAAAGTCATCGACATGCTTGAAAAAGTCCTGCTGACCAATACTAACAGAAATCGGCCTCGTCCTAAACCACAGCATTACAGCAGACTTCCTAGGATTGAAGGTTTCGATGCTTTGCCATGTGCTATCTGCAATGATGCTGCTCACTCTGCTTTAACACATTGTCGTGAGCATCGGCTATGTTTTCAGTGTCAGTCTCCTGATCATTCCAGACGGTTCTGTCCCAGGTGGGGACAATCACCTCAGCCCAACCAGGAAAACTAATGGGTCTGTGCGCAAGGGAGGTTAGTACAGACCACAATGATAATCCTCCCATATTTGCTACACAAGATTACCTGTCTATTTTTGAGCAAAGTAAATCTAGTGTCTCACCTGAAAAAACGGCTGTTTTTCAAGGTATACAGCGAGTCCCTAGAAATGATTCTTTATTTTACACCACTGTTTCTGTTGAAAATGGACCATCTTTCGTTGCATTACTCGACAGTGGTTCTATGGCTTGCACTCTTAGTGAGGCAGCTGAAGCTAAGTTGTTGGCGAGTACTCCCACACTGTCAAAGCATTCTGCTGATGATGTTGTAATTATTGGATGTGGCGGTCATCGAGTGGCACCAACGGCGATGTATGATCTGTCCATGTGTGTTTATGGATGTAAAATGATAATACCTGTGCTGGTTGTTCCAGGCCAAACAGATGAGATGATATTGGGCAGTAACGCCATCAAAAGCCTGCTCACTATCCTGAAAAATACAGATGAGTACTGGAGATTAATCTCACTGCCAAGCGGTAATGCAGAAAGCGAGAGTCTGGAGTTCATTTCTTTGCTTTCCAATACCCAGAGATGGAGAGGCAGTCACATACCTGACAAAGTGGGTACTGTTAAGCTCAAACATTGTGTGACACTTCAACCTCATTGTGAACATCTTGTGTGGGGCAAGCTTCCTGCTGGTTCTACAACATCTGTGGGGAGCACGGTGCTTGTGGAACCTACACAATCCAGATGTAGCCCTAAGCGGATCATGGTTGGTCGAGTCATTACACCTTTATGGGGTGATGGCTGGATACCTGTGAAAATTATCAACCCCACAGACAGTGTGTTAACACTGCGTAGAAATGCAAAGATTGCAGATGTTTCACCATGCACTGCTGTTGAGGATCTTCCAGAGAGTGACCCTATTAGCTCCCATGTCCAACATTTAAATAGTGACATTGTTTCCCAGGAATCTGAGGATGAGATGGCAAAGATCTTAAATGAAATGGGATTGAGTGACTTGGATCTGATGTCTTGTGAAGTTTCTGCTTCATGGAAAATTAAATTACTCCATCTCATCAAGAAATATGACTCCATATTCTCAAGGAATAAAATGGACTGTGGTGAAGCCAAAGACTTTGTACATCGGATTCGTCTAGTAGATGAGAAGCCCTTTCGTCTCCCCTATCGTCGTGTTCCTCCAAGCCATTATGAGAAACTGAGAGTAGCGCTGAATGAAATGGAAGAAAAGGGCATAATCAGAAAATCTAACAGTGAGTATGCTTCCCCCCTTGTCCTGGTGTGGAAGAAAAATGGAGATCTGAGGATCTGTACTGATTTTCGATGGCTAAATGCCAGAACTGTAAAAGATGCTCATCCTCTTCCACACCAGTCAGATGCTTTGGCTGCTCTTGGAGGGAATGCTTTCTTCTCAACTATGGATCTCACCTCAGGGTTCTATAATGTTCCGTTACATGAGGATGATAGAAAATATACTGCTTTCTCGTCACCATTTGGGCTGCATGAATATAACAGGATGCCGCAGGGCCTCTGCAATAGTCCAGCAACGTTCATGCGCATGATGATGTCAGTCTTTGGTGACAAGAACTTCACAAGTCTATTATGCTACCTTGACGATCTCATGGTCTTTGCTCCCAATGAGCAAGTTGCACTTGAAAGGCTAGAGATGGTGTTTTCAAGACTCAAGGCTCACAATCTCAAGCTTTCTCCAAGTAAATGTCATTTCTTGAGAAAATCTGTTAAGTTTCTTGGCCATGTCATTTGTGCAGATGGTGTCCAAACAGACCCTGGGAAAATAAAGGCCATCACAGATGTTAAAGCAGTTGATTTGATGGGTGCTGATGGTGTCACTCCATGTCATAAGAAAATCAGATCTTTCTTAGGTATGGTATTATATTACCAACATTTTATAGAGCGATGTTCTGCTAAAGCCAAACCTTTGTTTGATCTGATTTCAAAAACAGACACAAAAGGCTGTAGAGGCAGGAGGAAGAAACTTAACTTGAAAAATGTTATCAAGCTTACACCTACAGACTGGACTGACAAATGCCAGAATGCATTTGAGACATTGAAGGAGCACCTTCTTACAAGCGTAACGTTAGCACACCCTGACTTTAACCGTGAATTCATTCTAGCAATAGATGCCTCATTTGACGGTTTAGGTGCTGTTCTCTCACAAATTCCTGAGGGTAGCACTAGGGCCAGACCTGTGGCATTTGCTAGCAAGACATTGTCACGTTCTCAGATCAATTACCCAGCTCACAGACTAGAATTTCTTGCGCTTAAATGGGCGATATGTGACAAGTTCCATTATTGGTTGAATGGCCGCCATTTTACAGCTTGGACGGATAATAATCCCCTCACCTACATACTTACCAAGCCAAGACTCGATGCCTGCGAGCAACGCTGGGTTGCTAAATTAGCCTCGTTCAGCTTTGACCTGAAATATGTGCCTGGCACAAAGAACATTGTTGCTGACGCGTTGAGCAGGGAGCCTTTTGTTCAGTCAAGTGTGACTCACCGTCTTGTAACGGAACCTTACCACTCTCTGCTAAATCAAGTGAATGGTGTTGTGGACCAAGTTGTGCAGGATTCTTTTCGACTTACCACTAATTATCAGGTGTTCAGTCCTGCTGATGTTCCTCTTGATGGGACTGGAGTTAGCAGCGACGACCAGATGATGGCAGGTACTTTGAGCTCACAAGATGTCACTGCAGTATTGGATGCTCATTGTTCTGGTGGTGTTGGAGAGATGATGGGCTTGGAATCCATTCCAGACATAATCAATGTAGATCAGACTACTGCGCTCAATGCAAGCACTTTGTCAGCTGCACAAGAACATGATAATGTAGTGAGGAGAGCAATCTTTTATGTTCAGCGACATAAGCGTCCTAACAAACATGAACGTGCTAGTGAGTCTCGTCCTGTCTTAAGGCTGCTTAAGAACTGGAATAAACTTACCATCAGGGACGGCATGCTTTTCAGAGTCAAGAGAGACAATCACATGAACAAAAAGCTATATCAATTTATTGTCCCAGATTCCCTGAAAGGACAGGTTCTTCATGGTCTGCATGATGCGGCTGGCCATCAAGGTCGCTCCAGGACAGTTTCGTTGGCCAGACAAAGATTTTTCTGGACAGGAATGGAACGCGACATAGTGAATCATGTTAAGACCTGTATGCGATGTATCGTGGGAAAGACCCCTGAACCAAAAGATCGTGCCCCTCTTGAGAACATACACACCACGGAGCCATTAGAGCTCATCTGCATGGATTTCTGGACAGCAGAGCAGAGTGATAACAAGAGTGTGGATGTTTTGGTGGCAACGGACCATTTCACTAAATTGGCCTACGCTTTCCCTTGCAAGAACCAGTCTGCTAAGCAGGTTGCTTATCATTTGTGGAAGGGAATTTTCTGTGTGTATGGATTCCCTAAGCGTGTGCATTCAGATCAGGGTCCAAATTTTGAGAGCAAACTGATTAAGGAGCTACTAGAAATGGCAGGTGTCAAGAAATCACACACCACTCCTTACCACCCAATGGGGAACGGAATCACTGAACGCTTCAACAGGACATTAGGAAACATGATAAGAGCTTTACCTCCCCAGTCAAAAGCCAAGTGGCCACAGTCTCTTCAGATGCTAACATTCTGTTATAATTGCACTGTTCACGAGACCACAGGCTTTGCGCCTTTCTATTTGATGTTTGGGAGAGTCCCACGTCTTCCCATCGATGTGATGTTCCAACATGTTCTCCGAAATGACACTGTTGTTAAGTATTCTGATTTCGTATCTAGACTTAAATGTGACCTTAGTGAGGCTGCAAAAATTGCACAAAAGCACACTTCTACTGAGCAAGCTCGGCATGCAAGGATTTACAATCGGAAAGTGAAGGGATCGCCCTTGATTGTTGGTGACAGAGTCCTTTTGGCGAATCGTGGTGAGCGTGGCAAACGGAAAGTTGCAGACAAGTGGGAGTCCAATCTCTACGAAGTGATGTCAGTAAGGTCACCAATCAATGTATATCGGATAAGAGACACTGAAACAAACAGAGAAAAGACTGTCCACCGAAATCTTTTGCTCCCTGTTAACTTTCTGTACAATGATGATGAGTCAGATTTACCATCTCAGTCTCCCTCAGTTGAATCAACCTCAGACTTACCTGATGATCCTGACAGTATTTCAAGGACCGCTCACTGGATTGTGCAGTCTGATCAGCATAGCTGCCCTGACATTGACTCTGACTCAATAATTTTGTCTGAACCTCAGTGTTCTTTAGTCGTTCAGCATTCTGATTCAAAGGCAGATTCTGATACCTGTGATAGCTCAGTATCCGCTCAACAGGACTGTGAAATGATAAGTAACATTCCACATTTGTTGGATGAAGTACTAGTTCCAGATGTAGACTTAGACCAGAGTCCCTCACAGCACTCTTTGACTAGGCCAATTTCACCTCTTTCAAAAGTAGTCAATAACCCTGTTCCGGATACAGTTAGCCCTGTAATTTGCACTCAACCAGAACACATTCAAACAGACATGATTAGAACGAGGGCTGGTAGGACCGTTAAACCTCCACAAAGATTGATCTGTGAGATGAACAATCAGTTTGTACTTGATTCATCACCATCTGTGATTTCTCTTCTTGATGTAGTGAAAAATCTCTTTCGTAAATGAGTTGGTTTCATTTTGAGCTGGAATTTTCTCTTTAGTATAGTCTGAATTTAATTCAATCCTTGAATTGCGTATCTAAAGGGAGGTGTTTAAGGCATCTCTTTAGTCTGTGTTTAGTCTGGATTTTGGTACCGGTCCATTCTTGCATACCTCTAATGGAGGAATTTTGTAATTGATATTTACGATGAAAAGTGTCAAGGATATTCCCGTTTTTTTGTTTATTTTTTTTCTAGTTCTTGTGTTGTTAAGCTTTATTACTGTACAGGCACTGCCCCAGTTTAGCATAATTTAAGGGGGGTGTATGTAACGGAGTAAATAAGTGTGTTAAATAATGCCTAAATGGGGACAGCGCCCTCTAGAGTGTGCGTGATGTAATAAGTGCGTGGAGTAGAGACCGCCCACAGCAGAGTTAACGAAGCATTGCTGTGGGTAAGTTGCACGTTTCTCCCGGGTGGAAAATGACCATTAATAAGTGTTTAAAACACATAAATATTAGCTTTAATGTGACTTAATGTTTCAATGAATATGTTGGGACACTGTTGAGTTGTGTTTGGCGTCGAGTGTGCTGCTCAATTTTGAGTTTATAACGTGTTTATATAACGAGGCCTGATTGAAATCAATTTGTCTTGTGTTTCATATAGAGGTGGTCATTTTCTTTGAACCAGCAACTATTTACACGCGCTGTCTGTCTCCATTGTACAGGTATGTGTTAAATGTTATAAATTAATTGTTTGTAATTATTTTTCTTCTTACTCAAAACGAGTTACTAAAAGTCTCCACTAGATGGGGAAGTTTCATTACTTTTGGAGTTGAATTGTATTGCTCTGTTACACTCAGTGATTGTACATTAAGAATTGTGATTCATTAATTTGTCATGTAAAATTCAAAGTGTGTTATGTTTTTCATATTCTGACTGTTAAAATTTACACTATACGATCACAAAGTTAAAAAGAATTCATTGGCATATAAAAAATATACATAAAACTGTTTTAAATAAAACAGAGCAGAGTTAACGAAGCATTGCTGTGGAGGTGGTCATTTTCTTTGAACCAGCAACTATTTACACGCGCTGTCTGTCTCCATTGTACAGTGTACAGTAAGAAGACAGCCCAAGCAAGACCGTCACATTAGTCAACAAACGCCGGTTGAACATTAATCGCGATGACAAAGCAAGAGAGGTATTTTTGTGGGCAGACGACGAGGTCGAGTTGTTACTAAACGTAACAAATGAATAACTGCACAATGGCGCCTAAAACAGACAATAGTGCAAACAACGCTCCCATTTCTGTGCATATGTTGTTGTTTACAGTACTGTCTTCCGGTAGCGTTAAAGTCATGTGTTATAGTCATGTGATAGAGGCTTGACGAATAAGGGAAGGATACGCAATGACACAAAAGCCCCAATCAGGTAGCGAATTTCAGCAGTCCCGCCTCCGTTTTCAGATGTCTGCGTTTTTCCTCATCTACACTAAGACGGAGCAGCAGTGTTTCAGAATGAAAACGGCCTCTCCAGCGTTTTCAAAACGCTTCGTTATCGGCGCTCAAGAACTCCGTTGTAGTGTGGATGGACGTGGGAGAACAGAGACTGTGAGGAGAAGCTCAACTTCCTCTGTAACTGAAAATAATAAAGTTTGTAGAATTTTTAGCAAGCAATCAAATAATACAAAATAAATCATTTAGAGGTTGATATAAAATGTAATTAATGTTTCTTTGTATTTGTATGCCATGTTTTTTGTGCTGCTTTTGAACTGTAAAGAAATATCTAACTGTGATGGAAAATGAATATGATGCAAACTAATAAAGACTGTCACATTTGCTTCACACCTTTAAAACCACCAGATTTAGGTTACTGAGCTGAATATGCAGTCGCAAAACGAATCCGGGCTGTAACTGGTGAAACGATATTTCCCAAGAGATGACTGCATATCCCAGACAGCAGCAGATTCTGTGCGATTCCAGCAAATGCACTTAACATTCGCATCCATTTAACAGCTTTCTCACTGGGTTTCAACACTGCAGAAAGGATTTGGTTACAGCTAGGTGTGGGCTGAGGCAGGCTTCTTCATTCATTGAAACAATCAAAGATTTCGAAATATGTGGACACATATTTACAGTGATATATTTTCAAATATTGCAACAGCTCAATTAGAACCTGTTCTGTTTTACAATCCAAAATGAACATAGTTGTTTAAAAGTTGGATTTTTATTGCTCTGTTCTTGTAATATAAACTCTTTTTGAGTAATTATTTTGGTCATGAAAAGACCAAAAAAAAAAAATAAAATGAAACATGATGCTTATATAAACATGAGGCTCGTCAAACTGGTCGTGGTGGTGGAGTTGCATATCTTTAGTGATTTCCTTAAGATCTTTAGTGATTTCCTTAATATTAAACAGAGAAACGGACTTATGTTTAGCTCCTTTGAAGTATTATCGCTTAATGTTCAGCTTCCAGATACTATACAAAAACCTATGTTATCTCTCGCTTTAATCACCATATATAGACCCCCAGGACCCTATGTCAAATTTCTAAAAGAATTTTCTGATTTTATTTCTGACTTACTAGTCAAAACTGATAAAATGCTAATTGTAGGTGACTTTAACATCCACATAGATGACGCTAATGATACATTAGGGCTTGCGTTTATGGATTTAATACACTCACTTGGGATAAAGCAAAACGTTGTGGGTCCAACCCATCGCTTAAAGCATACATTAGATCTAATTCTGTCTTATGGAATCGAGGTTATTGACGTAGACATTATACCACAAAGTGATGATATTACAGATCACTACCTCTTACTATATAAGCTGTGTTTACCTGAAATCAGCAAACCCGCTCCAATACTCCGCCCTAGTAGAACTATTGTTCCGTCAACTAAAGATGAATTTATAAATAACTTACCTGATCTTTCTCTATTTCGTAATGCACCCGCAAACTCAAATGATCTTGATGTAGTAACCAGCAGTATGGATGCCATCTTTACTAGCACACTAAATACTGTGGCACCCATCAAATTAAAAAAGGCTAGAGGGATTAAAACTATACCATGGTATAATAGTCATACTCGTGCACTCAAAACAGCAACCCGCGCCCTGGAACGTAAATGGAAAAAAACTAATTTAGAGGTCTTTAGAATTGCGTACAAAGACAGTATGTCCAGCTATAGGAGGGCTCTAAAATCTGCCAGGACTGAGCACCTGCGCAAACTGATAGAAAGTAATCATAACAATCCTAGATTTTTATTTAACACCATCTCTAAATTAGCTAATAATCGGTCATCCTTGGAACAAACTACTCCACCGCAAATTAGTAGTGATGACTTCATGAATTTTTTCAGTAATAAAATAGAAGGCTTTAGACAGAAAATAGGAGATGCCAAACTTTCTGCACCGGCTTATACTCCAAATCCTGTAAATATTTCATTAAATCATAATAATAACCTACACTGCTTTAAAATCATAGAACATGAAGAGTTAGTAAAAATTATAAATAGCTCTAAACCAGCTACGTGTATGCTGGACTCAATTCCAACAAAATTACTGAAAGAGCTGCTACCTGCTATAGGAGAACCTCTTCTTAACATTATTTACTCTTCTTTATCTATAGGCCATGTTCCAAACTCTTACAAGCTAGCTGTTATTAAGCCTATTATTAAGAAACCGCAACTAGACATCAACAACTTAGCTAACTATAGGCCTATTTCAAATCTTCCATTTATGTCTAAAATACTAGAAAAAGTTGTTTCCACTCAATTATGCTCTTTTCTGCAGACGAACAATATTTTTGAAGTGTTTCAGTCAGGTTTCAGGGCTCACCACAGTACAGAAACCGCCTTAGTGAAAATAACCAATGATTTACTCTTAGCTGCTGACCGAGGGTGCGTCTCGCTATTAGTTTTACTCGATCTTAGTGCGGCATTTGATACCATTGACCACAATATCCTCATAAATCGCTTAAAGTCTACAGGTGTCCAGGGACAGGCTCTACAATGGTTTAAGTCATACTTAACTGACCGCTACCAGTTTGTGAATCTTAATGGACAGCCTTCACAAATCTGCCCAGTAAAGTATGGGGTGCCTCAAGGATCAGTTTTAGGCCCTTTACTGTTTACAATTTACATGCTACCTCTGGGGGACATTATTAGAAGACATGGGATCAGCTTTCACTGCTATGCAGATGATACTCAATTATATATTTCAACTAAACCTGACGAGACGTCTGAACTTTCTAAACTAACTGAGTGTATCAAAGACATCAAAGACTGGATGACCAACAATGTTCTTCTCTTAAACTCAGACAAAACAGAATTATTACTTATTGGGCCTAAATCTTGCACACAGCAGATCTCGCAACTCAATTTACAATTAGAGGGATACAAAGTTAGCTTTAGCTCTACTATAAAAGATTTGGGTGTCATATTGGACAGCAATCTATCTTTTAAAAACCATATATCCCATGTCACAAAAACTGCCTTCTTTCATCTGAGAAATATCGCTAAATTACGAAATATGCTATCCATCTCAGATGCAAAAAAGCTAGTCCATGCTTTTAGGACTTCGAGACTGGATTACTGTAATGCTCTATTTGCTGGCTGCCCAGCATCCTCTATTAACAAACTTCAATTAGTAGAAAATGCAGCAGCCAGAGTTCTGACCAGGTCTAGAAAATATGAACATATAACCCCATTTTTATCCTCCCTACACTGGCTGCCTGTTAAGTTTCGTATTGAATTTAAAATATTACTTCTCACCTATAAAGCTCTAAATAATCTAGCTCCTGTTTATCTAACCAACCTTCTGTCTCGCTACAAATCAACTCGCTCTTTAAGATCTCAAAATTCAGGGCTTCTGGTAGTACCTAGAATAGCAAAATCAAGTAAAGGAGGTCGAGCCTTCTCTTTCATGGCTCCTACACTCTGGAATAGCCTTCCTGATAACGTCCGAGGCTCAGACACACTCTCCCAGTTCAAAACTAGATTAAAGACCTATCTGTTTAGTAAAGCATACACTCAATGCATCACCTAGCGGGTTCCACACTGGCTTCTACATCTTGCTTATATACACTATGAACAGCAGCTACGCTAATTATTCTCTTTATTCTCTATTTTCACCTGGGGATACTCATCCCGAGGTCCTCAGATTATGCGGAGTCACTGATTGGATCCAAGACCAGCGACGTGATGATCCCAAGGATTCCATATCCAGGACCAGGCCATATCCTGAGCTGCTGCTGCGCTGATGGTCGTGGGGAGTGGAGAACATGAGTCTGATTCCAGCGACGCTCCAGGGACAGACGAGTCTTCGCTGAGGCCATCTTCCAGCCTAAACCACGACGAATAAAGTTCTGCACAAGACTTTTGGCCAGCGGAGAAATTAAAATGGTCGTGCCCAACTGAGTCTGGTTCTCTCAAGGTTTTTTTTTCTTCACTCCCATCAGGTAAAGTTTTTTTCCCTCTCCGCTGTCGCCACTGCCTCGCATGGTTCAGGATTGGTAGAGCTACGCATCGATGAATTGGCTCTTCAGTGTTTGAACTCTCAGTAATGATTAAATCACACTGAACTGAGCTAAACTGAACTGAACTGAACTTAAACACTAAAACCTGAACCACACTGTTCCAGTTACTGAACCACACTGTTCCAGTTACTATGACCATTTATGTGAAGCTGCTTTGACACAATCTACATTGTAAAAGCGCTATACAAATAAAGCTGAATTGAATTGAACTGAATTGAAATCAATGTGATTGAACAGAATTCTTGTATATACATTTTTTTAGATTCTTGTCAATTTTGGCTCATTTGTGACAGGGCGCTATATTTGCAGCTAGCAAAGTTAGAAAAAATATTTTTCTTTAAGCAATAATTTAAAATCAGAACATCTGCAGTACACTTGCACTATATATTGCTGCACTGCCCAGTAGGCTGTGTGACTGAATGCTCTCAATGCTGTCAAACAAACACAGAATTCACAGATATGCAAAGTCTCGTAACCCTCATGAAATTCTCCAATTGCTTTAGCCATATGGCATTGTAAGGATGGCTAAATCTCTTCATAATATCAAACCTTGAGAACTGTTATGGAATTCCATGAGGCAAGACCACGTGAATTGCCATGCAA